GTCCCTAAATACCCAGTGTCCATTGTCAGGAGGAGAGGGTTCTCTCCCTCCCCCCTGCCCCCTGGTTTTGTCCATTCAATCTGGAGACCTTGGGTCCTGGAACCAAGGTCTGAGTCCTAGTGCCAGTCCTTCCCTGTGTGACCTTAAGCAATTCAATTCATCAATTTTTTCATCTGATAAAATGACAAAATAATTTTACCTACCTCTTCAGGGTTTGTGAGGGTTAAAGGAGATAGTGTATGTAATGCAGTTGCTGGCTAACCTACCCCTTGATGTCCCTGTGGTGGAGGCTTTGTTCTTCAGTGTCCGCAGCCCCTGCCTGGGGAGTCAGCACAGGTGCGGTCAGAAGTGGTGCTGATCCTGCCTTTACTTCTCTCCCACAGATGGGAAATTTACAGCCAGCTGTCTAGCACCTGTTAGCATTCCTCTTGGGCTGCAGGCCTGCTGGAGAAAGTTCCAGTAGTAGGCTTGCAGCCTGGGTCCTTTGTTCCCGTGGCAAAGGAGATAAGGTTAGGATGGTTTGGAAAGGGGAGCCCCGTGTTTCCCGACCCCACGGTTGGGGTGGAGCAGAAGGGGTAGGCAGAGCTGTCCTGGACAGAGCCTGACAGGGCGGACTCCGGTTTCCTCCTGAAGGAACCGAGGTGGCCACAGCATAGAGGAAGTTTGGAATTATCCACCAGGTTATAAAGTCTCCAGGACCGTGACTCCCACATGTCTTTTTCCTGGCCATCGGGTAATTGAAACTCATTACACACACCTAGAGCTGTCCCCTGAGGGCACACAGTGGTTCTCAAGAGTCATAGTTTCCAGAGTTCTTTTCTAGCAGGCAAGATGGGCAAGAGGGTTTCTGAGGTAGTGTGTCGCCAGGGTTTAAGCTCTGGGTGGACCCATTCTAGCCCCTTTGTTGGAATGTGGGCCTTTCTCCGCCGCCGCTCAGTACAAACTGGAACCACCCCATGGGATACAAGGACTGTGGCAGAGCTTTTCCCCTGGCCGTACTTGCAGCCTGCACTGAAGCCTTTCTAGTGCTAAGTGTCAGGATTCTACCTGAGAAGTTTAGCCCTTGAATTGCTTGGGACACCTCATCTATGGATCCCCCCCACTGATCCATAGGCACCCCCAGAACTCATCCATTTTCCAGTGGCCAACTCCCTGCACGCCAGCCTATGGCATGTGAGTCTGAGCCTCTGGAGGTGGCTTGTGAGCATGTGCAGAAAGCTCACCCAACTCTGCAAGACTGGGAGAAAGCACACATTTTAGGGCATCGCCGGGGAAAACAAACTGGAGACTCTCAGCACCTGGTCTGACTTTGCCGGACTGAGAGAAGTCATGCAGTCTTAAGAACTCACTCCGCACAAGGGAACAACAATCATGGAGTGGGCGTATCCACAGAAAAGGTCCGAGAGAGCATTAGAGTTGCTGGTGGACTGAGTGATGGATGTACCGGGTACTTCTCTCCTAAAGCCGGTCAGTAGAAACTGGAGAAGGTGACTGCTTTTTCAGACATGAAGACAACAACTGAAGAATTCAAGAACACAAAAACCAAGGAAGCATGATACCAAAGGAATACAATAATCTTCTAGTGACTGACACCAAAGAAATGGAGATCTAGGCATTGTCTGACAAAGAATTCAAAATAATTATTTTAAGACACTCAGCAAACTACAATAGAAAACAGATAGAAAAAAAAAAAACAAATCAGAACACAATACATGAACAAAGTAAGTTCAACAGAGATATAAATCGTGAAAAAGAATGAAAGAGGAATTCTGGAGCTCATGAATACTCAGGCTGAAATGAAAAACACACTAGGCTTGACTTATAACAACTGCTATAGGAAGTTCTTCAAGTTGAAACAAAAGGATGTTAATTTGTAACATGAAAGTATAAAACTGGTAAAGTATAATGGCAAGCTCAGAATGCTCTAATTCTATAATGGTGTTTAAATCATTTTAATTCTAGTATAATGTTTAAAAGACAAAGATATTAAAAATAACTATAGCCACAATAGCTTGTTACTAAATGAACAATATAAAGAGATGTAAATTGTGCCATAAATTGTAAATTGTTGGGTGGGGACAAAGTGTAGAGTTTTTGCAATCAAAGTTAAGCTGTTAGCTTAAAACAGACTCTAATAACTATAAGGCTTATGTAAGCTTCATGATAACCACAAAGCGAACTCAAAACACAAAAGACAAAGAGAAAGGAATCAAAGCACACCTGCAAAAATAATCATCCAATCACAAAGGAAGACAGTAAAAATGAAAGAACAAAGGAACTACCAAACATCCAAAAAACAATGGAAAAAATGACTATAATCCTTACCTATCAATTACTTTAAATGTAATGAATTAGATTCTCTTATCAAAAAATCATAAGGTAGTCAATATTATTGTACTTAATACCTTTGTATGGTGACAGATGGTTACTAGGCATATCAGGGTGGTCCCATCATAAGGCATATAAATGTAGAATCACTACGTTGTACATCTGAAACTAATATAATACTACATGTCAACTATAATTTAATAATAATTAAAAGGACAGAGTGGCTGGATGGATAAAAACCAAGACCCAACAATATGCTTCCTACGAGAGAATCACTTCAACTTTAAGGACATACATCAGCTGAGTGAAGGGGTGAAAAAAGATATTTCATGGAAATGAAACCCAAAAGAGCAGGAGTTAAACATATATGAATCAATCAATGTGATATACCACATTAATAGAATGAAAGAAAAATCATATGACTATCTCAATATAGGCAGAAAAAGCATTTGGCAAAATGCAACAGTATTTTTCCAAATATGTAACCAGCCGTGCATTCCTGTAATAATCCCCATGTGGGGAAGGTAGAAAGTTCTTTTATTGTTTTGTTGGCTCCTGCTTATATTTTTCTGGGAACTTTTGCATCCATTCTCACAAATGAGATTCTTTTGTGGTTTTAGTTGTGTGAAATATTTATCAGGCTTTAAAATCAATAGTATAATTGCTTTATAAAATTATTTTGGAAGCTTTTCTTTTCTGTCAATAATTTGAGCAACAGTCCTCAGAGGATACCTGGTTTTCATTCTTTCTACAGGATAGGCAAGGCATGGCTTTAGAGAAAAAAAGGTCCCTTCTACTCTGGTTTTTGCCAGAGCCCATGGCCCAGCGACACATCACTTAATGATTTCCATGACTTCCTGGGAATCCAGATACATGAATGGAGTGTGGTAGCTATGATTTATGTTACTGTCATGTCCTCTATGTGAAATTCCTCGGCATCCTCTTCAGTGGGACTGGGAACACTTGGGCGGACCGGATGATGATGAGAAAGGGAACTGAGACCAGGAGTTATCGGGTCATTTTTGTGCTTTACAGTTTGATAACTTCTGTGGGAGCCCACGTTTCCTGCCTCTGTCCTGTAACTCAACTATTATCGTGGCTGGAGTGTCCTCTCTGCCTCTCAAAATTCTAGCTGTGTCTCCCGCTAGTGCGCACATTCTGACTGACTTAGGTATATTTACTCATTCTTTTAATCTCCTCCATGGGCCCACCATCGATTCAGAAAAATGCATTATGTATGAAGAAAACCAGGCTAAAATCCTCACGTACTTTCTAATGAAAAACATCTAATAGGTCACTTCATTTTTTGGCAATGAGATTTGTCACCTCACCTGTAACAGAGGGCTATTGTTATCTGTACTATAAGACTATTTTGAAAATTTAAAAAGCCAATAATATATGTGATAGAATAAAAGTACATATGCACACGAGTATATTTGATATTTAATGAAATACCTACTGTCTCTGAAACTATATGATGCATTTTGAACTATGTGTCACTAAACACTTTTCCTTCGTGTTGACTCTTATTGCAGTTTTTAAAATTAGTTATTTAAATTTTTAAAATTATTTCAATTACCGTTTACATTCAATATTGTTTTGTATGAGTTTCAGGTGTCCAGCACAGTGGTTAGACATTCATATACTTTACCAAGTGTTCCCCCCAGTATTTCCAGTCCCCACCTGGCACCATACAGAGTATTACAATATTACTAACTGTATTCCCTATGCTGTATTTTACATCCCTGTGACTATTCTGCAACTACGAATTTGTACTTCTTAATCACTTCACCTTTTTCATTTAGCCCCTCAAGCTGCCCTCCCCTCTGGCAACCATCAGTCTGATCTCTATGTCTATGAGTCTGTTTATTGTTTCATTAAAAAAACAACCACAAGTATTTGCATGCACAATCAGTAGCATTATGACAATACACTGAAAATACCCTGTGCCATGTGCTTTGACTGATAGAAAACTAGGAGAGGCTCATAACTTGATTTGCCTCAAGTAGAGTTTTTTTGAGTTTGTACAAGTTTCTTTCTTCCCCCCACTGGAATTTTCATTCTCCCTGTATGACTCCCTTTCTTAAAATTTAGTCATTCTGTCAGAGTCTTTTACATGATATCATCTATTTCTGAACTTTACCAACTCCAGTCTGATTTATGCTTTGCTAATCTTTCAAATCCTTACCTGAGGATACATTTATTGATTTTAGAGAGAAAGGAAGAGAAAGAGAAAGAAACATCAATGTGAAAAACTGTGATTGGTTGTCTCCTGTATGTACCCTGACCAAGGATGGAACCCACAACCTTGGTATGTGCCCTGACCAGGAATCAAACCCATAATCTTTTTTTGGTGTACAGGATGGCACTCCAACTAAATTCTAAATTCTAAAGCAACTAAAATTCTCACTTTGCTCTGCGAGTCAGTAACATAGCTGGGACAGATTCCAATATTCCTTGTCTGCCAGTCTGCCAAAAGGAGCAATAAATAACGTGCACAATTTGATAATCTCAATGGAATGTCTCATTGAACTGTTACAAGATCTCAGAGAAGAGAAATTGAGTAGCTGTAAAGACAAAGGTGGTTTCTTGGAGGGGGAGGACATTGGGGATGGATTTCCAAGTGCATTTTAATTGGCAACTGCAGTCTCCAACCTATGAACTCCCATTGCTTACATGGAGATTCTCTTGCAGAAGAGTTTCCCCAGGGCAGCCTTTGTGTCCCGATTTCTCAGACCATAGATGAAAGGATTTAATACTGGGGTCACTGCGATGTACATCACAGTTATCACAGCATCTTTCGGGCTGTAACTGGTCAGAGGGCGGAAGTACACGCCCATGACCGTCCCATAATACAAAGAAACAACTGTGAGGTGGGAGCCACAGGTGGAGAAGGCCCTGAGCACGCCCTTGGTGGATGGAACACGTAAGACGTGGAGAAGACGCAAACATAGGAGGCGATGATGCACAGCAGTGGCACAGAGAAAACAGCGACCCCGAGGTACATCATCTTCACGTTCAAGTGGATGTCAGAACAGGCCAGCTTGAGCAAAGGGGTAATGTCGCAGTAGAAGTTGGCCACTTCCTGCTTGCCGCAGAAGGACAGACTAGCTGTGAGCAGAGTGTGGGGGAGGGCGTTGACGTTGCCAACCACCCAAGACCCAACGACTAGCAGGACACAAGTTCGTGGGCTCATAATCGCCGTGTAATGAAGTGGGCGGCTGATGGCCATCGCACAGTCATATGCCATTGTCTATCTCTCTCTCTCTCTCTCTCTCTCTCTCTCTCTCTCTCTCTATCATCATCTATCTATTTATGTATCATCTATCTATCCCTCTTTCTGGCTAAGTATCTATCATCTTCAGAACCACGAGTTTACGCACATGCTTCCAGTCCTAGTCCGCTGCGCCGGGTGTACTCCAGCCCTTCCCCTTCCCGTGTGTGGAGGTCCCCCTGGCAGCAGGAAGAAACCTGGCTTGCATTACCCACATTATATTCACTTATTACTCAACTATAGAGTGCCGTAAAGTAGTTTCAGAGTCACTAACCAATTCTATTATGAAAAACAAATTAAGAACGAGGATAAAATATGTTTTTACAGTTAAATGTGTCATTAGCCTGAGGGTATATAGTGAAAACATGATGTTCAAGAGCTACTTGGGTTAGCATTTCTCCCCCATTCTAATGTAGTTCTATTATTCGTTTGAAATCCAGTCAGATTTATTTATTTACATCTGCAATCTGTTTGAATTGGTTTTCCCCTATTCATAATTTATGTCTATACGTATCACTACACTATATCTGTATCTATTTCTCTGTAACTTGTGTATCTGCCTATATGGTGTGGTTTATAATCTGGTTAAATTATTTTCACCCTGCTCCCACAGTATTTCAAACAAATAACGTAACCACACTGAAAGGGGAGCAGGAGGAAGTAACCTAATTCTTGCACACAGTGTCTCTGACTAAATTCAAGAAGGGGCCATGAACACATATACTCTAGGTATTTATTTGTTTTTTCTCAACGGTGTGGGTTAGCAGTTCTAAGACAACTTTATGTCTGTTCTGAGGCTGAACCTGTCTTTTCAGTGTTTTTCAGAGGGAAGAGCAAGGAAAGCACAGGCCCCAGAGCGGCTGGTGGCGCGGGGCTGTGCTGGATCTAAGCTCTGGCCACATGCGCAGCAGCTGCACTGGGAAGACCCATGCCGGGCACCCACTCTGCAGGGGGGCAACTGCCGGTTGCCCTGGAGCCCACTCCTGGAGGATCTGCAGGGGGTCCGCCAGTGTGCACGGAGTCAAGTTTTCTGGCGCCCCCTGATTCTGGAGCCCCTTAGTCCACAGTGTCTTCCACCCAGAAGCTCTCACCATTGCTTTCCTCCATGCAAGATATCCTGCTTTTAGCAGAGAACTTTTATGACAATTAAAGTGTGTCATTTCAGATAGCAGCAGCCAAAGGAGATATTTTTGGATGGATCGGGTAGCTCTCTAATTCAATCCAAGAGATGGGCAGTTAATAAATTTTCTTAACGGAAATCCCAGTACTGCTGGACCATATCCTTCCCCCTCCCCAGGAACTATTCCTGGGGGGATGTTAAGGCCATGGGACAATGACTGAGCTTCAGGCTCGCGCAGAACCCCTAAGAGAACTCACACTGAAGCTACCGGGGAAACAAATTACTAGCACCAGTCCCTGTGTGGCCCGGGCCCGAGACCCCAGGGTTATTCCAGAGGTCATGAGGTAACGAAGAGAGGCCTGCCTGCAGCCTTGCCTCAGCTGAAGTACTGGAAAGACCTGCTGTGACCGAGGTAGGCCACCCGGACATGAACTTGACATGATGTTAGCTCCACACCCCGAGCAGCCTCTGAATACACAGGACGGCTTTTCATATCCATCTCCAATGATGTGGAGGATTGAAAAGGAGGCAATGGGTCCTTGGTGGTCGTGACAGAGAGGAGCGCAGGCAGGCAGGTGAGCTCGCAGCTGGGGCGAGACAGCAGCCCCAGCACAGCCCCACGGGCAAGAGCAAACGTGGACCCGCACGTGCCAGGTGCAGTGAAGATATGAAGGCCAATACTGTCCATCTCTGAAGGGTCAGAGTCAAGCAGGGAAGAAAAGGTCTAAGCATTTTGTAAGGAGAGTGTAACAAAATCTTAACACTGTTTGGGAAAAGGGCGATGTAAGTGTAAAAGTCTTTTCCACCAGAAGACAAGCGATTCCTCCAACAGGTGGTGGGAGCCACCAAATGACAGGCGCAGACAGTAGCGGGTGGAGGAGAGCAGACAAAGGAGGGTCCCTACACACTGGTGTGTCTAGGAGAGCTTCGCAGACCAGGACAGCCGGTGTGACAGAGCGCCCGCCCCCACCCCCAGCAGGGTGAAGCGACTGGAGCGTTCCTTCACTCAAAGAACCTCAGCGTGGCATCTTGAGGAACACTCAGGAATTTGGAGTCTGTGTTTTGACTGAGAAATTGCTTCCTACGGGACCGACCCTTGGCATCGGGTGGTCTCAGGGTTGGCTGGGAATACACAGTGTTTACTAGTCTCTGGCTCTGCACGAGGCAAGACTACAGTTGTCATTGCTCCCAGCAGCAGACGGTATGAGGAACAGGGGAGGGAGGTGACGGCGCAAGGAGTGTTTTAGGCAGAGGGAAGGACAACTGAGAGCATTCAGAGATGAGGACTAGGGAGTGGGGTGAGGGCAGCCTGTGTGTTCAAGAGGCTGATCAATACTGTATTTGGTGCTACCGCTGGAGCAGGGGCAGCGTCAGGCTGCCAGCGGTGCTGAATAGACAGGTCACAGGGAGACAGTCAGGCTCAGGCAGGCGCCGATGGGGAGGCCTTCCTTTCCTCCCCTCAGAGGATACCAGTGTCTGGCATTAGGAGTGACAGGAGTAACGTGCAGATCCTAAATGGTGATGGAAAAAAAATACTGTAAAGATTTGAAAAAAAGAGCAGATCCAGATTTTTCTACTGTGTGTCTTCCCTTGACCTTTTTGAGCCACAGTTTCCTCTTCAGCACAAGACAATCGCAATATCTGCTTCCAGGGGCTCTGGAGGGGTTCATGGATTTCCCTCCCTTTAACACTGTTGTCCCCTAACATCACCCCCTGCTCCCCTGGGAGGCTCTGGAGGGAACTTGTTCTGCTCAGTCTGACAGTTCAGGAAATGCCCTTGACTTGGGCGGAGGGCGTTGCTCTGAGCCTGTCCTCTCAGGGGTGGCCGAGCCAGGCTCTCAGCCCAGTGGGCTGTGTCCAGCTCTGTCCAGGTGAGGGATTGGCCCTCAGAGACCCCTCCATCCTGGTGTCTCCGTCCAGGCCTGGTGACCCTCCTCCCCTGCTCTACTCCTGTCAGCGCGTGCAGGGACGAGCCCCTGGCAGCGTGGAGAACACAACCCCTTTCCCTGTAGCTCCGCTCCCCTGTTCTATCCACACAGGCTCTCCCCTAACACTAAGCGCCCCAGGGATCTGCCCCACGGACGGGAGTCTGTCCCTTCACGACAACAGACCTGTGACTCCTCAGAGGTAATGGAATGCACATTGGAAGTAGACGTGTTGGAAGAGCTGCTCAGATCCTCCTCCCTTTCAGCTCAAGAGTCCTTGCACCAATGTCCCCGCAGATGTGTCCTCCCTCAGTTTAGGGACACATATGATGGAGACTCCCTGACAGGAGACCTTCATGCCCCACTATGGATCAGGTTCCCATTCTACCTCATGATATTGCAAGTCTGGGCACCTCTTAACACTGTGCAGATGTATTTTTCAGACACCTTCCAGGTAGGATTATATTGCATGCATTTTTCTGTATTATTAAATGTTCTTCAGACCACATTTTATGTACGCATACATTTCTACTCCTCCTATCAAGACAGACATCCCACTATTCTCCCTCCTCTATTCCATAGCCTCTCTGAACCCCTCAGTGCCCTGAGGGTACCACGCTTGCTTTTGCCTCAGCTCAGATGTTACTTCTTCCAGGAAGCCCTCCATGACCAACAAAGCTGAATTGAATATCCTTTTAGTGTTCTCCTGTGGCATGCTATGTGACTACTGCAACAGGTTATAAGCAAAGGTTGAGTTTCTAGTCTGCTTCCACCACTCTTGGGGGCAATGAAAATAATAATGTGGTGAACAAGTCAGGCAAGGAACTCCCTTTCATGAGGAGAAAAAGACCATGAGCCCATAAACATATAAAGAAGATAATGTTAGCAAGCAGAGAGTGCCGTGGAAAGAATGAGCATGCCAGTGCAATGAAGGGTAACTGCGGTGTGCATGTTGCTCTTAAAATAAAGACGAGAAGAAGGGCCTCTCTGAGGAGGAGAATTCGAGCTGAGACTTCAAAGTCGAGGTTCAGTCACTTAATTGGAATTGCATTATATTTTGGATTGGGGGGATTAGAATTTTTATGTCATTGAATTCTTCCCAGGTAAGAACATGGAATGTCTTTCTATTTTTTCATATCTTGATTAATTTACTTCAATAAAATTTTATAGTTTTATTCATATAGGTCCTATGTTTTACTTTTGCACTTATTCTTAAGTATTTCATAGATTTTATTGTTGTTGCTACTGTGAATATTTTTCTAGTCCCAGCTTTCTTTTGCTAGAATGGAGAAAATTATATATATATATATAATTCTATTAATCTTTCTTTTAAAATTAAATTTATTGGCATAATATCTGTTAAAAACATAACATTCAAGTGTACAATTCTATAATACATTATTTGTATATTGCATTGTATGCTGATTGCCCAAAGTCTAGTCTCCTTCTTATCACTATGTATTTGACTCCCTTTCCCCCCTCATCTTCCACCTAGCTGGCCTCCCCTCTGGTAACCACCACATTGTTGTCTGTGTCTATGAGTTTCTTGTTTGTTTGTTTGTTGCTTTCTATTTTATATCCCACATATAAATCATATACTTCTTGTCCTTTTCCATCTGACATTTCACTCAGGACGATAGTCTCAAGATCCATCCATGTTGTTTCAAATGGCAATATGTTATCCTTTCTTATGATTGAATAGTAGTCCATTGTATATAAGGACCACATCTCCTTCATCCAATCCTCTGTTGAAGGACACAGGGTGTTTCCATGTCTTGGTCACCGTGAATAATGCCACAATGAACACAGAGATACATATATCTTTACGAATAAGTGTTTTCTAATTCATCCTTCCTTATATACACAATCTCTTTGTATCCTCAGATGCTTACACTGTTTCTGACATTTAGTTTACACTCAAGTATTATTGT